AAATACGCGTCAAGCATGCTGACCACTGCACAGTGAAGGCATCCTAAGTAGGCGGGAGAAATACCTTATAACCCTAGGAGGTTTCATTGCACCCCTGTGTACATTAAGAATGAAATGTTAGTTCCTAGGTAACCCGCTTTGGAGGGGGATGATTAGTATTTCTTAAAGCGTTACTTTTCTAAGACCTTCCACAAGATAAAATTTTTCGAAACAATGGATGATCGTCGTAGCAGGATTTCAGTATATTTATCGACATTTAAATTTAATACCACATATTTGTGATATGTGTATATGTAATAAGGTTTTTTCAATCTTTTCGGAAACGATTCAATTCATTTTGGGAGAAAACTGGGGACGAAAGCGCCCCATGTTTCTTTTTCAATGCGCAAGCTTCTTTTTCAGTGTACCTTATTTCGAAACTCAGTTTCATAACTGTTGTGTAATTTTGCTAAATATCATTCATGCTCATTTATCTATTCAATTAAGATCTGGATTTAGATCTTTAATTTTAATGTTAATACGGTAATTATAACACATCCATAATGGATACATTAAGGCTGTTCCTTGCTCCATAGCGGTTCATAAGAGCCCCGAACCGTTTTACTGCCATTATGAAACTTCTATCTTACCTTGCGGTTCCTCTCACTTTTAGAAGGCAGCAGTTTTCTAGCAATGTGACCTTGAAATTCATGCTTCTAAAATATGTTCCTAATCTTTACAGATTTTGACTCTAACAGAGGTAGTTTTCAACTACAAGAGCTGATTGGACAATTCTAATCTTGGGATTCATAGCGATATTCTTTATTAATCATATTTGTTCACAGTAAGTCCAAGCAATTGGTTACCCAAGCAGATCTCTCTCTCTCTCTCTCTATTTTCTTCTCATAGAACTCGTTTTATGATACCTAAAAATTATAATAAACGCAGTTAATTTCCTAAATTTTCAGATTTACTTAGTTTGCGAAGCAATGTTCTATTTTTAAAGTAACCCTCCATCAGTTGTTTCAGGCCGCTGTAAATCTGCAGTGCCTTCCCACAGGTCCTGAATTAAAATGAAAAAAAAAAAAAAAAAAATACGAAATTTAATGTATAAGCTTCTTTAATTTTAATAACACCCTCCGATCTTTGAATTTTTTTCTATTCTTCTAAGTACCTTAATGCATTTTGTATTAAGAGTTTGTTTCATTAAAGGATGAAATAATCATGCACTTTTACAGTGTACAGACACTAAGATCTTTTAAATTCATTTAGTACTGCTATACACTGAAAGTGTTGCCTAAAAATGAGGAAACGCTAACCATTTGCTGAAAAGGACACCCATTGCACCTTTGTTCGCAACAGGAAGATTTATCATGTATGCACGTTAGTTGTATCCGATAAAACTTCAGAATGCTCTTCTTATAAAAAATCAAAACAATGTATACCATTTCTATCTTAATTTCTAATAATCTATTCAAATTAAGGTCTGATATGATAATCTTTTCTTTTAAAAAAAAAACTGCTTAATGCAGATGCCCAGATGCCTCTCAAACTTCTCGGAAATGGGTGTTTATTGTCATTGACCGAGATCGTCTATGCAATGATGAAACTGAAAGCAGCCTGCGTAGAAATCCTAAAGAAGTCGTGAGAAATTATCTTTTCCGACCTTGAAATTACGATGACGCAAACTTGTTCTGTTCATGAAGTTTCTTTCTATTTGATGTTTTGTTGAGTCAGAAAGAAATAACATTTTAAAACTTTCAAGGATGATAATTTTGCTGTGTACATTTTGCCTGAAGGGAAAACTGAATTTATTAGATAAGACATTCTCTGTTTTTTGGAATGAAAAAGTTATTAGAAAGCGATATTCAGATTGCATATTAGATCTACAGATCTTTAACCGATGGGAAAATACTTGAGCATTATCAGCCACAGCGGATAGGGCAGTCTCATTGAAAACTTTCCAGGGGAAAACTGTTTCCTAGATAGTATGTTATCAAGGGAAAAAAAACTAAAAAAAAAAAAAGTTTCATTGATTTCAGATTTTAACGGTCGCCCAGAAGGGTTTGTTATGTTTCTTTACTCTCTCGCTGAGCTGGCCAGTCTGCAGTTATACTAACTCCTACTAACCCTTTGTTTTTTGTCTTTTTAGCTTTATTATCAAGCATCATGTTCTTCGCACTTATGCCATATAAAATTGAACAAAAAAATTACAAAAATTCTAAAAGCAGCATAGCAGTATATGTTTAGAATTCCCGATGTTGCATTAAGTGTTGGCATACATTTTTCTCTTTTCTTCAGTGTTTTCTCAGCTCATCATACTGTTAAAGATTGTCAAAAGGTGTGTGTTTCTCTTTCATTCTGCAGGATGGTTCGTTGTATTTAATAAATTTGTTTATTACTACACTAAATACATAAATATTTACGTATAGCTGTAATGTTGAGAAATCCTGGTCATATTGCTCGCATTTTCTAGACTTTAGATTACTTTTTTTACTATCGTGCGCCCTCTAACCGTGTCTTTTCTACAACGCCATTTATCGGCGGATTACAATACCAATGTTCAGTTTTCTTACTATGATGACTTATTTTCGTCTTTTTATTATTAAAATTTTGAGTGTTTGCTTTATTTATTAAATATCATGTTATTGACACTTAGGCCACATAAAATTCGATTCAACAGCAAAATCACAAAATATTTAAAAACAGCGTATACTTAGAATTTACGACAGACAGTCTCTCGCGCTGCAGATAAATTTCTTTTTCTGTACAGTGTTACCACTGCTCGCCCCGAAATCATTGAGATTGTTAACCAAAAATTCGTTAAAATTTTACAAAATGTGAAACAGATAATAAAATAAATTAGAAATTCAAAATTAGGGCTTTCAGGTGCCCATGCTCGAATGGAGGACTATGTTATTCAAAATTTAATTGCTCTAGGTACCTTTTTTTTTTTTTTTTTTTTTTTTTTTTTACAATGCGAGAAACATACATATATTCTTGCAGATTCTTCATTATTTTGTTGTTTCTTTAAATGTAGACACTTAAATAAATAAATAAATAAATAAATATAAAAGCTTTAAATATAGAAGAGAAGGAATTAAATAAAATTTGACGTGGACACCACATGACTTCTTTGTACATCCTATTAAATTATACACATTTTTTGCTGCATTTCGTTTAAACCAATTTCCCCGAATTTAATTAGAGATATGGTTCTCACTCAATTAATTCATTTGTCACTTCACGGCAAAACAAAAATAAATAAAATTTTAAAACATCTTCATTAAAAATTGTAAAATGCAGAGAAAAATAAAAAAACAAATACAGTCTGAAACAGTTAAAAAAATTATTTTTTCAATTAAAATTAAAGTTTCTTAGCAAAAAGGCACTGAAGGTGCACAAACTTATTTAATTCACTATTCTACTAAAGAGTTTTAAATGTGAGCAAATCGCAGCTACGTTTTGCTTAGTAGCCTTTAAAAAAACTTTTAAATTGTTGATAATTCTACAACTATTGCATGCACATTAACTAAAGGCATAAACAACTTAACCGGAATATAGAAACAACATAATTTAATCACTTTTAAAGGGGAAAAAATGAACAATTTAACAACATAGAAGCATTAAAAACTCAGCACAGAGCGGGTAACAGAGTGAGTATACATATATATTGTAACCGATTGTAACCAAAAGAGAGATGCGCAACTACATGTTATAGCAGACCCCATGTACAAAATGTTAACGTTCTGGAGCTACTCGTTTTTGAGTTATGCGAGATATATACATACGTACGTACGTACAGACGTTACGAAAAAGTCCCTCTTCAATCCATTTTAAATCCATTTTACAATCTGTTTGTGGAAAAAAAGTCCTTTATTACCGTATGTACTGTATTTACCGTACGTACTGGTGTTACTCAAAAACATTGCTCAAATGCATTCAGAAGCGGTCAAAATGGATATTTTCGTTGAACTATGATACTCGAAAGTTTTTTCGATTACATTACTTCCTTTACTTCGTACAAGGAAGGGAAAAAAAAAAAAAAAAAAAAAAAAAAATTGAAGAAATTTCATTGTCATGACATCATGAATTGCCATTAGCTGCAAGTTCTTTTTGTTACTTTTTTCTCTCGTACTGTACATTATTCTCAGAAAAGCCCATTTAATTGTTTTAACGACAGATTTAAAAATGAAATTCTAAACTATACAATTATCTTTTTTACCAACATAGGGCAGTATGAGCATATCTATAAAATTAAAATGCAAGGAAATTCCCATTCGTTGCCATACTAAATTCACCGAAGATAACCAGCAATCTAAAACAACTCACCTCCGCTCTTGATGCCATTGGATACGCCCTCTGTTGTGATATCATTGGTGACGCTGCACATTGCACCTGCTACGTCACTGGTGTCACTTGTCACGTCCTTTGTGGGATGTGACTACCACGCCCTCATCTACATAACTCCTTTTTGAGGCAGAACCTCCAATTCATACTACTTATGCATAAACCTTTGGCAGGCTTAAAACATAATGATGTTTGTTTGATTTTCGATTTAAAAAGATAAATGATTTTAGTTTTCAGAAAATTTTCCTATTTCTAGTCAGCATTTTTTCGCTTTTATTCATGTTCATATTAGGATATCCACGTCTTAACTCCTGTAGTGATATTATTAAAGAACTATGGGCTCTTGTAATGGCAGCATTCATACATTCATGCCATTTGAGGACTCAACACTGTCCATATCAGTTTTAGCTTCAAAATCGTTGATTACAAATATGATCCTAGAATCAAATGTTTATGATAAAAGCCTCTTTTAAATTCTTAGCTGATTATGAGAGCGTCTTATATAATAAATCTTGTTTTCAAATTGCTACGCTATACATTACATTACATTTACGCTAAAATTTCTTATAAAAGAAAAGCTTTACTTAAAATTGAAAAAACAACAATGAATAGTTAAAGAAAGTATGCATGCATAGTGAAATATATAAAAAATAATATTTTTAAAAATTTACTCAATCTCGCCCAGTATATTGTGGGTCCAAAGGAAGGTGTTTTCGGCAAAATATATATCATGTTCATTTCCAGGATCGCTTTCTTTTCCGATGGCAAGAAATCTGTATATAATTTGGAATACTGCTTCTTGACTGTATAATACTTTATTATTGTCTTTAATGTTTTCTGCACATCAAATTTTCGAACTCGAAGAAATTTGATCAAAAAGTCATCTTCCAGCAGTGGATGCAATTTAGGAACTCCTGAAAAGATGATGAACTGATGAATATATCGATAAACACAAAATCTTCTGGATCATGAGATATTTCCAGGAAACGAAAACTTGTGGAAAAGAATTATATCATTCATATAATTTGAAACACAAATCATCTTATTTTCAAATGACGGTGAATTCTCGAAGTCGACGAAAGTTCCAAAATCTTCACTCAGTTTAAAATTAAGGAACTTCAAAGGAAAGGAGCTGTGTTAATGATTCCACAGTTCCGAACGCAAAGAAATTTCAATTCTAAAATTCCAGAAATTTGAAAACTTTTTGCACATAGCTTTTTTTTAATAATGGATAAGCACTCGGTAGTTATTGAATTAAGGGAGGCCGCCATGATGGATTTTATAAGCATATTGCCTTCAGATTACACACGTGAAACACAATTAAGAGACTCCTACAAACAGCCTCCTTGTTGCGAATGGAATCCAGATTCAAGTACTGGTATTTGTCAATGGTTTTATCCATTCAGAAAATAGCAAGCTGTCGCGAAATACAGGAATCTTATATAGTAGGCTTTTGCATAAAATGCCTACACGCTTTATTTCTTTAAATATTGAATGAAATAAATATATTGAATAATCATGTTTCTCCAAATAGGGTATAGAATTTTATGCAATCAGTTTCAGGATTGAACTAGCAGAGACCTTTAACTCTAATTACTAAATATTCATTTCATCGTTATGAGTCAAAATTCCACTTATTCTGATGCTCATTGTTTGTTAATGAATTAAACATAAAATCTTGGATTCGTATACTCATGAAATTCAATAATATAACAATAAGTAATAGTTTAATCAAGCCAACTGCAAAGTTAATAGCACGTGACCTTTTAACCAATATAGAACATTTAATAGCGAACACAGCAACTTATGTTTTGTAACTATTTTCTAAACTTAATTAAATGCCGCAGTATTTCGATCTGTGATAGACACTTAAAGTAATCTGAGTCAGTAATCGTTATGGAATGCTTAAGCATCCCTTTTTTAAGTTAAGAAATATTTTGTATTTGGCTAATTAAAGCAATATGCATATTGTTATAGGCAATATGCAATTAGAATCTGTTTCATGAAGACCATAAAAATTAGATCTTCTAATTTCAGAACCTTTCCTAGCGTTGAAATTTTTATATAAAAACTATCTATCTTATTTTCAAGAGCTTTTTATCTGACAACGCATGTCATTCATATTTAAATAACGAATGAGTGTTTTTTAGACATCCTAAATTAGGAGTGTTTCCAGAAATGTAATATACCTAGTAAACTTTAAAAATACGTGGTTTGTCAACAATAAAAGATGACGATTCTGATTCAAGACAGCAATTATTTGTAAAATGATTCATCCAATTATAACCTTCTTTTAATAAATGAGTTTTATGCTATAGAAATTAAAATAAAAACGGATCAGTGCGTCTTTGTTCTTAAAACTAAACTAATATCTATCGATGAAGTTTCCTCGGAGACCAAAGTATTACATAAAATAAAAAATCTGATGTGTACACCACATGACTTCCTTGTACGGAATATTAAATTATACGCATTTTTTCTTGCATTTCATTTAAACTTATTGAATTGAATTAAATCTACTTCATCGACAGCGCATAAACCACAATAGAATAAATGCACTCTTTAAAATTCACTATATATTTTTATCACAGCGACGCTCTGGCGCTAGGTTCATTTAACAGCGTTATATTTCGTTCATACTATAATTCACAATGCATAAAATTTATATCATTTGAAGAATTATCTAATCGTTGCCACATGTTCTATTCAAATACCATAATAAAGCTAGAACGAAGTATAAAAGAAATTAAGTAAACAAAACAAAAAAGCAGTTTTTTACAGACGATTTGGTATTTCTCATTCAATTACTTCAGTTCACACTTCGCAACAAGGCAAAAACACTTTAAAACTCAAAATATCTATATTAAAAATTACGAAGTAAATTTTAAACACTCATTTCCTCGAAAAAATTCTAGAAAGTATTGAGCATGATTTAATTCGCAATAATAAAGGAAGGCGTTATCTTTGTTGTTGCGAAGCTTAGCCCACCATGTTATGTAAAGATTAGGTAGGCTTAACCGCACTTAAACAGCCTTTAAATTGTTGATTAATTGTACAAATATTGCTTCCATATTTACGAAAGGCATAAAAACCTTAACCGGAAGATAAGAACAACATAATTCAATCATTTTTAAAGCAAAAAATGTACAATTTACAAACATATAAGAGTAAAGAAACTGAGATAACTGAGCCGGGTAACAGAGTGGATATATATAAATATATTTATATACATTTGGTGCGGCCGATTGCAACCAACCAAAATACGAGGTGCACATCTAAATGTTATAGGAGTCCTACATACAAAATTTCAACGTTCTGAGGCTACTCGTTTTTGAGTTATGCGAGATACGTAGGTACATACGTACAGACGCCACAAAAAATTCTCTTCAGTATTAATTTTAAAGCAGCTTTATAATTATTTGGGAGGAAAAGAGTCTTTTATTCTGTCCTTACGTACTGATGTCACGCAAAAATATCGTTAAATTGCATTCGATAGCGGTCAAAATGGTTATTTTCGTTGAAATATGCTGCCTGAAACTTTTCGCGATTACAATACTTCCTTTTTACTTCGTACAAGGAAGTAAAAAGAAGAAATCTGGATCTATTTTCTATCGCATAGCACTTTTTAGAATAGCTATTAAGTCAAAAAAATTTTTATTTATTGCAAAATTCTAATTACACGTCTATTAATTTTATATTACAAATGATATAAAATTTTAATTATTTTTTTTATTCAATCATAAATCATATTCTAATACTTAATGGGCCCTACAATACTGAAAGTTTTTACTAACTTCCAATCAATATCTTTAGTTCTTCCAATGACTTCATTTTGATATCAGCCGTCTCCCCAAGCTCTAATCTGGCTTCTATCTCCGGGCTAAGATCTGCAGAAGAGAGAGAAAAGAATTGCATGTTGCTTCAAACTCTCAGCACAAACTATATAAAACTGGTTATAGCCTTCCTCCTTAGCAAGCGTCACTTAACAAAAAATGTGCGCACGAATTAACTCAGAATTTATGTCACGTTTCTCGCAAGAAATAAAGCAGCAGCTGGATCGAATGAATAATTTGATTCTTTGCACAATCAAAAATGGGGTTTAAAAAATAACTTCTGTTTCTGATTACTACTGATTTCGATAAATGGTCATAAGGAAGTGCTTCAACAGTAATGGCACTGAAGTAATGATCGGATCAACAGAAAAAACTTTCTTCACAATTGCTAATTTTTCTTCCTTCGCTTCCTCATCTTCTAATACGAGACGGAGAGTATTTTACACTGATCACATATTGAATAGCCAAAGTAGCCGAAGCTAACATATTTCTAAACTAGTTGGCCCGTAATATTAACTTAGCCAGCGAAGCTAGAGGCACGTAATACGGCCGAACGTTGTAACAGTTAGAGAGACGTAGCCGAACGGCAACCACGCACTATTTAGGAATCTTAACTCTCTCTCTCCTGAAGTTGGTGGAACTTAAATACTTTCTACTTTTCATTTGCATTTAACGCGATTCTAAAACCTCATTCTAGTAAGGAATTGTAAGCTGAAGCTAGAAAAGATAGGAAAGGTGAACTAAATTAAAATAACAGTTATAAAATTAGAATTTACCTTACAATGTGATAGCTCATATTTTTTCTCAGCAATGGTTTAAGATGTACTCAGTTTTTCAGAAGTAAGGTAAAATATTTCAAACACTGAAATACTTTCCGAGTGTTTTACGCAATAGTTCTTGTGCGTAGTAAGCATAAGCATAATAAGAAACGAGATATGCGTTTATTACTGATAGCGTTTAATTATTTATTCTAAAAAAAAAATAAACAGTTATTATAGCTAGTGCATTTTATAAAGAAGAATTCTTCGCGGCTTGGAATATGCCAATCGCGAATTATCAAAAACTAAACTTTTACATTATTTTCATGTTGCGAGATTTTACATCTAATAGATTAAGATAATAAATCCACAATAACAAAAATGCGACGGGAAAATCTTCCGTTGGCCGAAAGATAATGTTACAAGCACGGAACATCCCGCCCCGAGTTAAATATTACATTATTTCAAATTTAAATTAAAAAAAGTATGGATAAAAACTTATCATGTTACAACTTATAACAAATATACCAATTAATAATTCAATAAGAAAATAAATTATCATACATTAAAAATACCGTTATCCATAATGGGTTGTAAAGTTGCGCACTTCCAACCTGCACGCAACAAAGTGGTGACTGCTGAAAACTGGAAATTAGACAGAGTCTTGAGAAGGGTTTAAGTCTCTTTTTATTCAACTTTACAAGTTACAAATGCGTGCTCTTGACGCTCACAAACTACGCCGACCCGGCGGTAAAATAAAAATAAGAAACTAAAAAGAGATACTAACAAGTAACTAACTACGAGGCTCTCTAAACGTACTAACCTCACCGCGTTTTACAATATCGCTGATAATTCAGCAAACTCTGAATATTACGTTGAAAGATTAACAATTTGCCGAGGCAAGCACACAGGCCGAAACGCGTGGTTCTTCAATTTCTAACTAGCCACTTCCCCACTCGTGAAGCAAGAAAGCGCACTTCGAACTCGTTTCCTTTCTATTTAACTCAGAATACTTCCGCTGATAATTTGAATCCTTGCGCGTTCTACTAAAATTTACATACTCTGGCATTGGCAGTTCCAGGGAAAAGTAAGGCTTGACAGGAAAGATAGTTTAAACTTAAAATAAATGTTAGTTAAAATAAATATAAACCCTACAGGGTAAAATACAAAATTTTAGTCCTCTTTGGCGTGCTTACATCTGCAACTCTGACATTTCCGTCAGAGCCTGAAATCACCTTAATAATTCGAGCCAAAACCAATTGAAGATGGTAAGTTGAGAGTGCTTCAATAAAATTAGCATGCCAGGAGTTATATTTGGCCTTTTAACAACCTACTTAGAGCCCTGTTTTGCCAGTGTTGCTAAATGTTTTGAACTAATTTTTGAGTCCTCTGCCACCTGCTTAGAAGATTACCTCTTTTATCAATTAAGTCTGCTTCTCGGATGGCATTTATCGGTTTTCCTATCAGAAAATTTCCAGGAGTTAATGCTTCAAAATCATCTGTATCAGTAGATAAGGGTGAGAGTGGCCGCGGATTGAAGATGCACTCGATTTGAATTATTACGGTCAAAAATTCTTCTAGATTTAGCTTGGAAGAGCCTACCACTCTCTTTAAGTGGTACTTGAAGGTCTTTACACCCGCCTCCCAAAGGCCGCCGAAAGTGGGTGCCCTATGAGGCAAAAATTTCTACCTGATACATTCTGAGACTAACCGGTTCAAAATGTCTTCCCTGTCTAACATTAATTTACGCAAACGTGCAGAAACTCTGCAGAAAACTTTGCCTCTGGATGACCTCCTTACTTCGGAATATAACAAAAGCGTTTCATGTTCACTGCCCATCTTTTGGCATAAAACAGTAAATATTCTTCAATTTAAAGCTCGGCTTTTTAATAATATTAACAATTTTCACAACTTGATTTAAAACGATTTTCAAACTTTCAGGGATTGTTTTGGCTACTAAAGCTTTACGACGTATGGAGCAGTGAGTAAATTTAGTTTCAGGTACGACTTTCTTTATTTGAGAAATCACTCCTAAATGTTTTCCTGTTAAAGCCCGAATTACTTTGAAAATTTTACTAGCAGTTGCTCTATCATGAAGAGATGCACAAAATAAATACTCTTCAGCAATTAGTTTATCTTCTTCGAAACGTATGTAAACTAATAATTGAGTTCGTTATATCAATTCTTACATCCAATTGCAATGCGAAATACTCACTGTGTTTCATTTTTTGAATAAGTTTCTCTTTTATGGAATTTGCCATTTCATGAATTCGTCGACTTACTGTATCATTTGATAACGGAATATTGTTAAGTTCAATAGCCGCTTTGTCTTTGAATAATGACAATATCTTTAGCTGTTGGTAATATAAGGTTTTCTCCAATAGTGTGAGCCTGTTCAGTCTTAGCAATTTTTAGGCTTACCGGGCTTATTCTTAGGCTTACCAGTGAAAAAGATTCGGAAGCTTTTTCACTTGAAGTAACAAAACCTTTCATTACTTGTCTATTATTTTTGAATTTCGATAATTTCCTTTTAAAATATTCTTCAGATTTATCCTTTAAATTGGCTTGCTTAGGTTCAAGGTTCAAAAAACGATGTTTTCATACATTGATTGGATAATAATTCACCGCAAATAACACTGTAGGGTTTATATTTATTTTAACTAACATTTATTTTAAGTTTAAACTATCTTTCCTGTCAAGCCTTACTTTCCCCTGGAACTGCCAATGCCAGAATATGTAAATTTGAGTAGAACGCGCAAGCATTCAAATTATCAGTGGAAGTATTCTGATTTAAATAGAAGGAAACGAGTTCGGTGTGTGATATTCTTACTTAGCGAGCGCGGAGGTAGTTAGCGAGAATTTGAAGGACCCCGCGTTGCGGCCTATGTGCTTGGCGGGAAGTAGTGTTAATCGTTCCAGTGAGCTTCAAGTCTGCTGAATTAGCAGCGGTATTGTAAAACGCGGTGAGTTAGTTATTTTAGGGAGCCTCGTAGTTAGAATCTTGTCTTTAGTTTCTTTTCAGGTTATTATTTTTATTTGACTGCCGAGTTGGCACCGTCTGTAAGCGTCAAGAGGACGCAATTGTAATTTATTACGTTGAATAAAAAGGGACTTAAACCCTTTACAAGACTCTGTGTTTTATACAGCTTTCACAGTCACCTCTTGGTTGCGTGCAAGTTGGAGGCGCGCAACGTTATAACACATTGAGGTTGAGGGTCCATTTTTTCTCTATTCCAAGTAAATCCAAATGATAAATAACTTTCATTATATTTTCTGGAAACAATTTTTTTTTTCCTTTCAATATTCTTAGTACTAATAGATTTTCCTGGATCCATGAACTGTGAAACGTCACTTTTACGCTTAATCCATTTTTCCTAACCATTTCATCCTAGCCATTTTTCCATTTTGAAAAATCTACGTTTGTTTTATTATTTTTTCACAAATATTTAAATGCACAATATTTTACGAGTGCTTCAAAAACAGACGACGATATTCTCAAATCGCGTAGAAAAGTAAGGAATAGAAAGCAACAAGAAGACAAAATACCTATTGTTAGAGACAGCAAACCGATGTAAAAAAAATGATTTTCATTGAAAAGGGAGAAATAAGGCGTCATAAAATTGCTGACATGCTAATAAATCGATAAACTCTAAGAGAATTAATGAGATACTCTACGGCTACGGCTAAACCACTACGGCTAAAAGCTGTGGAAATGTTGTGTAGTGGTGGGTGATGGAGTGCTCAATTAGTATAATTAGGCCCCCTCCTGGCACTGGCTGGTTCTTGCTCGATCAAGTCCGTACGAACAGTAATTAGCAACACTGAAGGTGTTATGTAAACTAAACTTGTGTTCCCGTAAGAGAAGAATATCGAAATGAAGCTCATTTATAAAGATACGAAGTTCATCAATTTTATGGAGTAAGCCGTTGGCGTTCCATGTCACAATTTTAAGACCATTATCCATAAATTAATTCTTATTAGATAACCCGTGAATTTCCTCAAGAATGAGGTGTAACATTTGTATTTTATCAATTATGTTATCACATTTTCTTAACTCAGGAATTTTGCTTTTGTATATATATGTAATGAAACTGTGGTTCGATGACACGACATTAATGATTTGATCGTGAATGTGGTACAAACTTGCTTTAAAATTTCCGATGGAACAGGACTTTTCCCATGATTCACTGTGAACATAGCTTAACAAACTCGTGTATAATTTTTCAGAATCGTGTTGAACTGGCCGAAGAATGTAATGACAGAACACCTTTGGAGGCACTGACATACGAACGCTGAGACGTAGATGAGTAGAAATACTAATTGCGTAGATACTT